TTTTGTTTGTGTTACTGATGAAGAAAATTGAACAGGAATCAAGATAGTTGCTTTTTTTTTCTAAATTAGATATTTATTCATTTTAACGACATATCTTTAGGACTAAAGTAACTAAAGCAAGGAAAGTTTTTGTAAACGTACTTCCAGAGTGATCGTATGATTTAAAACTAATGTCTGGGCTGCTTCAGAAACAACTAGACCATGGCAACGGAAGTAGAGACTTCAAATTCAAGTGAAGTTGGAGCTAATTTTCCAGTTGGACCTCAACCTGGCGTTAATTATCCCCTGAAAGTTTTATACTGTGGAGGTATGATAGTCAACATGTCAGTAGGTTGAAGTTATTGTGTCTACAGAACATTGTTGCAACAGTAGTTCAGTCTACAGGTTTAGTTAAAATATTTAAATATGTGGATAAATGTAAAACAAGTAATATGTAAAGTAAAAGTAGTATAGAAAAGTAAAATGACATGTTTTTTTGTGTTTCATAAATAATTTATTATAATAAGAACGTTTAAGATAACTATTAAAAATTCACTTTAAATAAAAAGTCTCAGAAAAGTGAGGATGAAATAAACATTATTAATCACTGTTATTTATAAGGTATTAGTTAGATTAATGTGTAAAATTGGATTTCTTAAATATTATTAGCTACGTTGGGCAAATGTGGTGGCATGGTATGAAAATCTTTCTACTTCAGTGCTTGGTAATATTGGTAAGCAGGCCTAACCTCCTCAAGTATTCATGAGTTAAGAGCTGAAAACATGAGTTAGGATGGAATAGTCGTTGAAGTTTTCTGTAGTTTACTGTTACTCATAGTTAAGCCTATTTATTATTAATTGTAATTATTATTAGCAGTTCTTCTGGTAGAAGCTATTAATGGTTAGTAGTCTACCTCTGATTGTTAATTAGTTACTAATTTTAATTTTTATTAATTACTAAGTAAGTATGCATATTGCTAAATAGTTTTATCTTAGTTTTCAGCTGCTAGTCTGTAGCCATTTCTGTAGCGGTAATGGCTGGAATTTGATCCTGGATCTTCCTGATAAAGAGGCTTATCTAGGGTCTCTTTCCATTAGAACTTGAAGTAAGTTATTTCAGTGAATTCAAGAGGGGTGTCCAGTTTTATGGATGTAGAAAGCTTCTTTTATCTTCATTTTTTCATTATGTTCGTATATCATTATTTTAGTATTATTATTGTGTGGTCTTATTCAGTGGCGTGGTTGGCTTTACCAGATTGATTAGTATTATTGAGTCTTATATGTCTTTAACTTTGCTTTTTTCCTTCCGCATCTGGAGAGGCCTGGATCAGTGTAAGTTTATGTTTATCCAGTCTCAGTCATTGGTTGAATCACTTAATTTTTTACTTCTCAATGTATTTGGTGACTAGGGATGTTTCAGTTGTTATGATCTTGAAATATAATTTTTGTTTCTCTAACGTGCTGTAATCCATATTCACAAGGTATGTTCTAAATGTTGTTTTCTCTTCATTTAGGCGGTTTAGTGTTTACTAAAGTCATATTCTGTTATGGTTTCTTAATACTGTTCTGGCTCTGTGTTGTTTATATACTCTCCGTTTGTTTTCAGAGAGGCCAGTGACAGTGGAACGTGACCGTGTGTGTGTAATTCTCTTCATGCTTGTACTTGATGTTTATCTTCATTTTATTTTTATTCTGGGTATACGTTGTCACTATGTTTTATGATGCTTGTCTTTATAGGGCTATTAACAGTTGTTAGAAGGGGAATAAGCTAGGAACGTGGACTAGGTTAATGTTTTACATGAACAGTTGTTAGAAGGGGAATAGGCTAGGAACGTGGATTGTTAGAAGGGGAATAGGCTAGGAATGTGGACTTCCGCAGTATTTATTTATTTATCTACACCTAATTTCATCACTTATATTTAAGTAGTAGTATTTTTAATACATTTTTTAAAACAAATTATTCAAAAAAATGTTCTTCTAAAACAACAGGGGAGGGGGAAAATCTCCCACCTTGCCCCATCTTGTAGACACCCACTGCTGGGAAGATATTATATCAAAAGTTGTTTATTATTTGAGGGATGGGAAATATTTAATTGCATTAACCTAATCAAGACTTAGGACAAGGTTTACTTTTGAAGTTTTTGTTTTTTGAAAAAAAAAGTAAGTGCATAATTAATTTAAACCGTATATTCTGACCATTCTTTTATATTTCTCCACCTAATATGTAAATAACATGGACCACAAGTTATTGTCATGGGTATTATATACATCTCCATGTTATTATACATAAAATTCACTTGTGATGTGATAAATGAAAACCCATACTTGGTGGTTTCCATAAATTGAGGTTTGCCATCAAGTTGTGTTTTAAAGTTGTATAACTGGTAATTTTAGTAATTTCAGGTTTATTTTTTACTGATTTCACCACATGCCAGTTTGATCTGGTGGTCTGTGATGCAAATTGAAAACTTTGGTAACTGATTTTCAGTTCCATCCAAATATGCATGGGTAAACATGTGATCATTAAAAATATGATTAAATAGTACAGATTTAAGGTGTAGATTAAAATATTGAAAGTAAGGTTTATTTTCATGATGTAATAATTATGATAAAGTTGTTTTGAGTGGGTGTTCAATAAGGTATTGTAATGTTTTAATATACTTTTGATTTGTGTAACTTTCGTATGTAATTGTTTTGTGGTTTTTTTTTTTTCAGAATGTACTATGCCTGTTGAGGTAAGACTTTTCTCTTTGTTTCTTAAAAAGATTCATGTAATTATTATACTTGTAAATAATTTGCTGCTGAACAGGTCACCATTAAAAGTTAGTTTAGTTTATCTATAACGAACTTTTCTGTATTCATTTGGAAGCATAACTTTTAATGTTTGACAGTTTTGTAGGGAAAATTATGAGTCATAATTTTGGGATGTGAAATTTTTAGACTTGAAAGAATGGGATGTTAAATTATGACTTCAGTAAGGAGATTGGCTTTCCATAGTGTGATTAGTTCTAGTGAGGAGAGTGGTTTTCCATCACGTGATTAGTTCTGGTGATGAGAACGACCTTCCATCACGTGATTAGTTCTGGTGATGAGAACGACCTTCCATCACGTGATTAGTTCTGGTTAGGAGAGCGATATATGGGACACTATATAACCTGTCATTGCCACATATATATGGGACACACTATATAACCCGTCACTACCACATATATATGGGACACACTATATAACCTGTCATTGGTGGTAGTGACAGGTTATATAGTGTGTCCCATATATATGTGGTGTCCCATATACGTATATGTGGCAATGACAGGTTATATAGTGTGTCCCATATATAACTGGCAGTGACAGGTTAAACAGTGTGTCCCATATGTATGTGGTAGTGACAGGTTATATAGTGTCCCATATATATATGTGGTAGTGACAGGTTATATAGTGTGTCCCATATATATATATGTGGCAATGACAGGTTATATACGTGTCCCATATATATTATATATGTGGCAGTGACAGGTTATATAGTTTGTCCCAATATAGTGTGTCCCATATATATGTGGCAGTGACAGGTTATATAGTTCTGCTAGGTTAGATTTTCATATTGTTAAATACAGTATAATAAAATTTCGAATAATATTTAGCATTCCTTATTATATTCCCCGTTTTATTGTTACAAAGTTTTTATTAGGTTTAATGCAATAAACACAGACGCCATTTCATGCGTAAATATAAAGTTTGGTATGTGTGCTTTTGTGTAGCAAATCCACATCGGGCAATCTGCTGTATCCACCGAAGGGAATCGAACCCATTATTATAGCGTTGTAAGTCCATAGACTTACCGCTGTCTCATCGGGGAACGTTTGGTTGTTGTTATATCCCAAGCTACACAAGGGACTATCTATGCCAAGTGCCTCGTCATCTAATTAGTGACGCGCATGAATGGATTAACGAGATTCCCACTGTCCCTATCTACTATCTAGCGAAATCACAGCCAAGGGAACAGGCTTGGAAAAATCAGCGGGGAAAGAAGACCCTGTACAAACAACTAAGTTTGAGTTGAGGAGTTATGGAGCACCAATGATCCAACCACACCCATATTAACATAGGTGTGCAACAGGTAGGTCAATCAAAGGTCACAAATCCTCCTTCTTATACCCTAAGGAGAACAGCAAAAGGATTTACCTTTTGTGACGACTCTGGCCAAAAAAAAAACTAGCACCCACTTCAACTGCGTAAGCATTACAAGATATTTTCCAACAAAAATAGCATGTATCCTTACACCAATATTGGTAGGACGATTTAAATGTATCTTAAGTTCAGCATATATACAAATGAATGCATTGAGTTTAATAGAAAAAAAAAAGCGGAAATTACAAGTTTACATTTGAAGTAAGTTTGTTTGGTTATTATTAACAAACACAAGGTTTGCTGCAGTGAATGGAAGACGTTCTATTTGGGGCGTTGCTCACTGCAAGAGGGCATGCATTAGGTAGCGGGTGGAAACTAGCCCGAACATTCTGTATTTCTTCTCTTTCGCAGGTAGGTCAGTCGGCCGCCTGGTTTCGAGAGTGTTGAATAACTTCAAACTTACCTAAACTGTGTCCCTACAGTATCACTAATCTCGTGTTTCGTTCGATGCGAATGGTACTCCTGAAGCAAGCCATTGCTCTATCCATTTCTTCTATCAGAACATGTTCATGCCCCAGAAGTGTGTAGGCAGAATCGGGATCTACTTGTGTAGCTCGTTGAAGAATTTTAATAGCTGTTTCATGTTCTTTTTGTAGACTAAAGCAATTATCTGCTGTACACCAAGCTTGTGGAAAAATAACATGAGATTTAGATATGTAAGTAAATCTTACATTTAAGCATATATATATATGTGGCGGTGACAGGTTAATTTCTCTCTATCTTTGTGTGTTTATAAATTTAGAAGAATACCTCATCCAGAACTATGAAGAAATAAAAACTTAGTTTGCTATTTTTCCGAAGAATTGAAGTTGGGTTTATCTTGTATATAAACACGTGTGTTTTTGTTGAAACTCTTAATTCATCGGTTTCAGTGATTTTGTTTACTGGTTTACATTTCTACCACTTTTTATCTTTTATTTTGTTAAGTCTTGAAAACAAAATTATATTGATGCTCTGTATTTTTACCAGAATGTTTTGAATTCTTGTGTCACTGAAAAAGTTGTAAGTTGTTACATTGGGTTCAAAAAAATCGTTTTCCCGAACTTTAGGCTCTTTTTTTATATTGTTGATTCGTGTATACCTAAGTCAGTTTTAATGATCAGAATTAATTATATTGATAGAGAAATTATTCCAGAAACTCACAAGGATTGTAATAATTGTGCATTAAATCAAAGTCACAAATGACCCCTGTTTACAATCTGTAATGAAACGGTATTCTTTCAGACACTGGATCAATACGTCTGTTCTGTTTGTCAGTAAAATCATGAAGTTTTACTAAATCACATAATGTATATATATACACACACACACATTTACTGAGAAGAACGCTCATTTCAACAAGTTATGTATCCAAATATTTTTTTTAATAAATACATACTATTTTTGACTACCTAATAGAGGTGTTTTGCTAAAATTATATTTAACAATCCAGTAATAATCTATGTGTGTAATATTAAATTGCTAAAAATGTACACGGTAACCAGCTGTTTAGCTACAAAAAAAATATGTTTCTGCTTTGACAACTGTGAAACATATGTGAAACGGAATTAGCTAGCCTTATTATGTATAGATAAAAGCAGAATATGGGCCTATAAATAGCAGAATCAACAGGAGCAAGTCACATAAACAACATACACGATCTTATTTGTATGATTTGTAAGACCAAACACGTGTTTATCTTGCGCGCGCTTAGAGACAGCGGAAATAGGTTGTATATGCACTTACCCTTTCGTCGGTTTTCGTCGTTCTATCATCTTGACAAGCAGAACTAATTGACGACAGAGGTGTACAATATTTACGAAACAGTGCTAGGCTTGTAGAATGCAGACAAACATAATTTCTCAGTGTTTGTACATTACAGACAACGAAATATTTGTTTGCAGGCAGTTCGATAGGTTTTTAACACCGAGAGAATTGACAAGTAAACCAAAAAAAAATTGTTTAAAGAACGCAAAGGCTTGTGAACTACGGGTGCGGTAGCACCCCCTGGCCTGACATACAGGGGTAGTGGGGGATGCGCATGCTGGTTCCCATGATATACAGGAGTTTCGGTTTTACCTAAAGATTTTCTAGAGCCCTACTGAGCAGCTTCGGTGCAAGAAAGTATTTTTTACTATATGGATAGGTAAAGACAGATTTGTGTCGATAGGTGGACGATAGGTTATAACTGACGTGAGTACATACTAAGTAGATTTTGTCTTTTTTTAAATATCAATAATGTCCTTACATGTAGTAAGTTGTATTAATTTAATATAACTGAAAGCAGCGTTATCTGTATTATCGTGATAATTTCTCAATGAAAGTAAATAACTTATAATTAAAATATCCATAATAATTATATTACACAGTCAATCTATTCGTCGGGAGACAACCGTTAGTTGGAAGTGTATAATATCATAAACCAGGCCATGGCTGATATAACCATTACTAATTAGGTCTTTCGTCAATACCAGGGCTCTTCAGGCCAGCTGGTTTATGACAGACATAGTCATATTTGTTTTCTCCTCATTCTTCAGTTTATTCGTTAACTGTAGGAAGTTAGAAGTGAAGATTACAGTGGTGGCGTCTACGTTTTACTTCATGATGTCATTTTGGAACAAGTTCTTGTAACGTAGTTTGTATATTTCTAACGTATTTATTTAAAGTGTTTTAAATGTGTACTTCATTCTTCTCGATTTTAATGTACTTAATATACTCTTTCTATCTTTATGTATTTGTTTAACCATATAAACTTTTTTGTCCAATCTACATACGTATTCTGTTTTCCAATTTTAACGAATAAACGTAATTTTTCCGATATTTTATCTTGCTCTTGTGTACAGGGTGAACTAAGAAATGAATATACAGTTGTTTCATTTAAGAAATAGTTTAATGTTTAACGTATTTCTCGGAATCAAACAATAAGTAAATAGATTTCAATTATCTTTGGAAGAATCTTACCACCAACAGTATTGTAATGTTTACCACATTATATATATATATATATATATATATATGTGTGTGTGTGTGTGTGTGTGTGTGTGTGTGTGTGTGTGTGTAGTTA